TTTTGAAGTTTTGATTAGCAATGATTTTAATTGGAAGCTCGGATGTGTTTGCGACTGTAATATTAATTCTCTTATTATCTTTTACTTTGACTAGGCAGTTTGCTACTAGTAAGGATTCCGACAGATGTTGATCTATGATCATACCTTCTTTTAGGTGATCGGGATTTTGCACGGTACATTCGATTACCGTCTCTGAACGGGGTGGAATGACGTAGAGAGGTTCGGAAAAGTGTAGTTTTATGTCGAATTTCCCTAACTTTAAAACATCATGGGTATAATCAATTCTGCAACCAAAGGCAGTAAGAAGTCTGAGCCTATGATGCCGTCATAGGGTAAATCGATGTCTTTGACGACATGGAATTTAAATGATATAGATTTGTTATTTATTGGATTTAGTTTAAGTTGAAGATGACCTTCAGTCTAGGTTGGTTCATCATGGGGATCTATACCCTTGAGTTTAATTGACTCTTGGACGAGTTTTATTTTATTTTTGATACAGGAATCTTTTAGTAGGCATATAGCAGAGCCTGAATCGACTAGTAAGGATAGTGGGATATCTGATGCTTGCGAATCCATCAGCACATGTGGTAGCAATCTTTTAATTGTGTCGATGTTCACTTCGTATACTTTACTAATTTCTTCGGATAAGATTGAGACTTTAGGATTTGATTTAGTAGAGTTATTCGAATTCGATTGGGTAATATGGTCGGGTTGTGGCTGGTTACCCTGTCGATTGGTCTGATTTGATTTAGGAGATAGGGCGCTTATTTGGGGCTGGTTACCCGTGTGGTCCCTGGATTTAGAGAATAGGACGCTTATTTGGGGCTGGTTACCCGTGTGGTCCCTGGATTTTGAGAATAGGGCGCTTATTTGGGGCTGGTTACCTGTGTGGTCCCTGAATTTAGAAGATAGGGCGTTTATTTGGGGCTGGTTACCCGTGTGGTCCCTGAATTTTGGAGATAGGGCGCTTATTTGGAGCTGGTTACCCGTGTGGTCCCTGGATTTAGAGAATAGGGCGCTTATTTGGGGCTGGTTACCCCTGTGGTCCCTGAATTTAGAAGATAGGGCGCTTATTTGGGGCTGGTTACCCGTGTGGTCCCTGAATTTAGAAGATAGGGCGCTTATTTGGGGCTGGTTACCCGTGTGGTCCCTGGATTTAGGATATAGGGCACTTATTTGGGGCTGGTTACCCGTGTGGTCCCTGGATTTAGAAACGGTGTCATTGGATATATATGATTGATTCAGGATTTCGGGATTGGGCTTCGCGAGACACCTCCGTGAGCCCATTATTCGTTTAAAGGTTCGGCCGAGGAATAAACTTCGTCGCGGCCTTCCCCTTGTTCGGGGTGTTGGAGAAAATTCACTCGCGAGGGTTGGTAAGGGTTATTATTAGTTGGGTTCTGCTGGACCCTAAAGCGATTGTTATTATATTCGCATCTTTTACACGCTGAGATATCGTGGCCAGGTATCTTGCAATAGCGACAATATACATTATAAGCCCCTTGTGATCTGGGGTTAGATGGTCTTTGTGAATTAAAAGATGAATTAAGATTTGGTTTAGGAGGGCCGGCCCTAAATTTGTTAGTGTTGTTATTATTTGGTTTTTGGTCTTGCTGTGGACGTCTATATAGCGTCTGCTGTATACGTTCCTCTGAAATGGCATAATTGATTGCCTCATTTAACGACTTGGGAGACTTGCATCTAATAATATTAGAGATTCGGGGATGAAGCCCCATTACGAAATGGTGAAGAGCAAGGTCTTCCATGGCTGCGGTACGGCCAACTAATTCCTTGGCCTTAGTATTCGAAAGTGATATTTCGGTTAATAGTTGCGAGAGGCAGGTCTCAGTGCGCAATGCATACTGGCTAACACTGTCTTGTGGTCCTTGCCTATTTTCTTGGAGTTCGGTAAGCAGATGTGAGAAATGTTTCCTTTCGCTAAATTGTGTTTTCAAAAAGTCCTTGAGCTGTTCCCAAGATGTAAACTCTTTTATGGAGCAAGCGATCCCGTGGAGTTGACTGAGGATAAACTTAAATAAAATAGGATTTTGTGCGTCTGATGCAAGACTGAATGCATTATCACAATTTATTAGAAATGAGTTGAGAGTTTCCCTGCTGCCATCATAAGATTTGACAAATTTGAATAAAATGTTTAATTCGAGTTCGGCCATTGTGAGCGGTTTTCCTCGTGATGCGAGGTGAAAGCTGAGGTGACTTCACGCCGGCGCTACCGGAAAACAGCTCTGGTTCGGGAATCTCGAAAAACACACTTTGTTCTTCGGGGTTTGAACTTCTTGGCATAGCTTATTATTAAAACTCAAATTTAAAATAACCAATTGGAACTGTTAAGCATCAAAAATTATTCACAATAAACAATTTGTTAATATGGAGCGATAAACGAAATAAATTAATTGAACAATGTTTATAATTTATAGAACTGAATATTTAATTTAACTTAGTCTAGACAATGACCAAAGACTTACAGTACAAAAGCTGCGTGGGCGACCGATAAGAACGCGACGGCGGCCAGGAACATTCCGATGCGATAAGGACGTTGCAGTACGACTCCGTACGGGCTTGAATGTTCTTGAATAATAACTTGAGTTATACTTTGGTTTTCAGTTTCAGGATACCTCGATAAACAGTCACGTACTGAGATAAAGGCCAGGTAAGTCTCGTGATGTCTTCCTTGCAGGTTGTGGCTCGGGGAAACTTCGCAGAGCAGGTAAGAAATTGCGGTACAGGATGCAATTAATTATTCTTTTCAGCACGAAATTATCCTTTCAAGGATCTGGATGAATTTGTAGCACAACACTGCAATAATAGCACGATCAGTTTTATTTATGACACTTGTTTTCTTCACTAACACAAGGTGAGTTTTTTCAGGATAAGAATTATAGAATAATCTATATATGATAGGAATCCGGGGCGAGTCCGTGATGCGGTGCCTGGGCACTGGGAATTTCCGGATCCCACCGCTGCCACCAATTTGCTACGCGGATAATCGCGAATGGTTTTTTAAAAAAAAAATATTTTAATTACACTTAAAACTTTATTTTAAGAACAATGGAAATATATAGATTTATCGGATAAAGACGTTAAAACGATCTTTAGGCAACCGCACTGAATGGAGGATGGACACGGACTGTCGGATACTAACCGAGGAGACTAGGGCTTGAGTTCTATAGTGCTGACCAAACATAATGGTCAGTAGGAGCAGCAATATACCTAACATATATCAGGTATAACAGTTCGTACATTGAATGCCCTAGAACGCCCAACAATGAGAAAATGCTAGTTGTGTTCGGAATCATTCATAAACTCTAATTGGGCATTTGTTGAGATACGGACAACTTGAGGAACCGTGATCTACTACAGAATGTATTAGATTTTGAGGTTATAATTATTATACTTTATCGTAAACGATGTACACTTTATATCTTCTGAATAGATTTGTTGTTTACCTTTATGTAAGCACTTAAATAATATAACATAAAATGCAATTAATAATAAAAATAATAAATGCTTCTATTCATATTTATTTATGAGTGTTGGCAGTTAGCACCTATGATACCTATACCTACCTGTGTAATAATATATTTCTTTTCATATGAAATGTTCAAAGGCTTTCCATTTAAGTACCTGTTTCTATATTTTATTATTGGTAATTAGGTATGTAAATAAACAGATATTATATGGGATGTTCATAAACTCTAATTGGGCATTTGTTGAGATACGGACAACTTGAGGAACCGTGATCTACTACAGAATGTATTAGATTTGGAGGTTATAATTATTGTACTTAATTGTAAAAGATGTACACTTTATATTATATTCTGAATAGATTAAGTGTTTACCTCTATGTAAACACTCAAATAATATGCATTAAATGAACATAAAATGCAATTAATAATAAAAATAATAAATGCTTATATTCATATTGATTTATGAGTGTTAGCAGTTGGCACCTATGATACCTATACCTACCTGTTGTAATAACAGATTTCTTTTCAAATGAAATGTTCAGTCTTTCCATTTGCCTGTTTCTATATTTTACTATTGGTAATAAGGTATGCTGGTTAACATTGTGATTTTCATAAAAATAAACAGGTATTATACGGGATGGAAGTATAAAATATCTTTACCTAATTTCAGAAATAATCTTTTTATAAATATAATATAAATAGGTACTAGTGATAAGTATTATTAACTAAGGAACCTAGTTCTATTCTTATGTTTATAAATACCTATGGTCGCCTATATTGCATTTATTAAGGTAAACAATCTTGACACAACTTTTTAACAAAATCACCCATTTAAAAATAAAATAATAACGAAGCCATTAAACTATTAAAATAAATCGTTATTATAAACTGAAACATATTGAATCCAGTTATCAGTTGATTTTTAATGCTGTATTTCCAATAAAAAGGAGTGCCAAGATTGTTTACCAAATAGGACAAGTTAGGATGAACAGACTGTAGTATCTAGTAACAGAACTTTGATTTCTTATTTTTTTAAACAGATTGTCCGTTTATTATGATTAATTGCTAATAAATTAAAAGAATAATAGAAAAATAATAGTGAATCGTTATATCGACGAAATCGGCCCTAGCATGCCCAAAAGAATGTCTTTTGGGCATGCTAGGGCCGATTTCGTCGATGTCCTTTGCCGATAGTCACTTGTCAATTGATTCGATTTTGAAAAGGAAACACTAATGTAAGCTTTGACTTAAAGCTCGTTATAAATGATTGATTGTTTGTTGAGATATTGAGAAGAGGAAGACTGCAGAATAATTTCTTGACAAACTTTATGTACATCGATATCTGAAAAATGGGAGAAGAAGATAACATGTGAAGTCTGCAATAAATTAGGGCAGGGTAGGAAATACAAGAGTTCCATTAATTATCATTAACATCCTACCAATATTTATTTATTTGTCAATTGTTTTATATAAGATATTTTAGAAAAAAAAACAAGAAACAGAATTAGTCAGAACCTGATAATCTCTCGTTGCCTCTGCATCAATATCAGCGGCGGTAGAAAGGCCCTGCATCTTTCTTTTGGAGTTAAAGTCTTTCTTCAATAGGATCGCGAACACGACCGCACCAACCACGAGCACGGACAAGCTGCCCACTAAAGCTAACAGGACCGGCCACTCCAGACCGAAGACCAGCGCCTCGGGAGAAGCAACATGCCGTATCACCGGACGCTTACTCTGTGAATGACAACAAATTCAATATCTTTATTATTCATTGCAAACATGTTTAGTAGGCACTTAGTGTTTTCTTTCGACACCTTTTTAATACATTTTTGTATTCCATTCTTAAGGAAATGAGATTGCTCAAATTGGCCCAAATATACAAAAAATATTGACACATACGGTAATTCATGGCGTAATTTATAATTTATTTTACAGTCATTAGATTTTAACTGACACCTTTGTATAATATATTCATTTTTAAAAGGACTTTTAATTTTACCGGTTTGGAAAACATACGAATCATTTTTATTGCTCCTGGGTGTAATAACATTCAGCCAAAGACTGATCGAAGTTGTTTATATAACATCAAAACAAATCTATTTTGTAAAGATCGATAAAATAAAACGTTTTTTTTATTACACTGTGGTATTAATATCCACAACTATATAATCATTTTCACTACATGCAAATGTGCTAAGACAATTATTATTGATGGTAGGCGACATCATAAAGTCTATTGCCATATATTTTTCGACACCTTTGCCAAACACCTACATAAACACATTATAAGGTGTGATACACTAAAAATCTAAAATATGGTTTAATATAAACATAGCAAAAATAATGAAGCTACTGATGATATGGCTGTATAACCGAAATAGCTTTTTCATCCCACCACCTCGGAAAGTGTAATTTTGCGCTTCGAAATCTGGCTGGAAAATTCTATTTTATTCGCTTGAGCGGCAAAGTAGATTTGAATTTAGAACATCACATATAATGAGTACTCAATATAATTGTAAATTCAAAACGTCATTAAACCTATTTAATGTAACCTCTATGGTGCCAAATTTATGATTAGAACTTTTTAAATTGTGAAAAAATTTAAATTTGGAACCTTCTTGGTTTCTTTGTTTTATTTGCGTGCTTCGCGCCATTCTAGTTTTTCACGTTTTATTGCTTAATATAATTAACATAACCTAAAAACTGTACAAAAAAATCAACTAAAATGAGTGACATTAGCGACGATGAAGTTTATCTAACGCCAACTGAGTTAACTGAAACAGTTAATAATGCGCAAATGAGCCTTCTCCCTCAGCAATCACGAGAGAAGTATTTGAAACAGTACGATATATTTAACATGTGGCGACTAGCTAAAGGAGCAAAAACTTTCTCCGAAAACGTTTTGCTGGCATATTTTATAGAATTATCTGAGACCAAGAAAGCAAGCACGCTATGGAGTACGTATTCAATGCTAAAATTAACAATTAAGATGAAGAAAGACGTTCATATCGACACCTATCATAAATTAGTGGCATTTTTAAAAAGAGCCTCATCTGGTTATAAACCAAAAAAATCGAAGGTTTTCACAGCATCTGAAATTGCAAAGTTTATTAATGAAGCACCTGATTCCGTATATTTAGCGGCAAAAGTAAGTCAATACGTGTAATTTTTTGTTGTTGATAAAATTGTACATAGTACTTACAATATTTTTAATTTGATTAATTAATTTACGATTATAAATACTTCTTTTGTTACAGGTTGTTCTTATTATTGGTATAACCGGAGCATGTCGAACAAATGAACTTACACTACTTAATGTCAATAACGTATCAAAATATTCTCATAATTCTGATGAATTGCTATTAATTAATGTACTAAATACCAAGACAAAAAAAGACCGCAACTTCGTTATTCGCAAGGAATATGTAAACATTGTTCAGAAATATCAAGCTTTACGTCCTTCTAACACCCCAATTGAACGATTTTTTCTACAATATCGCAACGGAAAGTGTATCCGACAACCTATGGGTCAGAATAAAATTGGCAGTATTCCACGAGAAATAGCAACTTTTCTCGGACTTTTAGAACCCCCGTTATACACCGGTCACTGTTTTAGAAGAACCTCAGCCACACTTTTGACCGAATCAGGGGCTGATCTTCTATCGCTTAAGCGCCATGGAGGCTGGAAGTCTAATTCGGTTGTAGAGGGATACATAGAGGATTCAATCCAAAGTAAATCAAAAATTTGTAATAGTATCGTGGAGGCCATAACGCTGAAAGAACCTCTGTCAGATTCTTGGTCTCGCCCTTCTACATCTAAAATGAGCCCCCATAAGATTGGAAACAATAGCCCTCTCTCGCCAACATTTACGCCAATAGAATCCAATGAATCGGCACAACTATTTAAAATTACTGATACGAGTAGTTTACCACAAAACAGCGCACAATTCACAAACACCAACATAACATTACCTAACAAAAATATTAAACTTAACATAAGTAACTGTAGCAACGTTACATTTAATATTTCTTAATTATTTTCTACTTCTTATTATTTTCTTCAATTTATAGATTATCTTAATGTGTTTTAATTGAAATAAAAATATTTTGTCATTATAAATTGTTTTCTTTTTCATTTTGTCATTTCCTCGCTGAGGTGGGATGAAAAGTTACGTATTGCACTCGAGTGGAAAGATTTTTCACCTTGTGCTCGTTTGTTTCCCTCGCTGACGCTCAGGATTCTAATTTAGAATCACTCGCTGCGCTCGTGATTCAACTTTAGAATCCTTCGCTTGCTCGGTCATCCAAATCGAGCACGCGGTTAAAAAGGAACTTTCCACTCTTGTATAATAAATAACTATTTTTGGTTAACGAGAGTTTAAAAATTCTTTCTAATCTGTGGCTCATTCACAATCATCACACAGTTTCCCATAATATAAATACTACTCTTTGCACACAGTTTCTGTCACAGAGTACCTTATTATAACCGAAAATGCATAGATGATACCTGATTTTAAAAGTTACTCTTGTGCATTTACTTTAAAAACAGGCAATTATCTGTTAATCTCTATCTAATACATAATTTCGGTACTTGGCTTGATTTCCCTAGTTTACTATACAACTTATTTGTGTTTTACTATTTTAATACCTATGTACCTATTTGCAAACATAACCTCAAAATCATTCAGTGTATATGGTTTATAGAAGTTCTCAGGGGTGTCCGTCAATAATATTCGTTTCTACAGTAATTTATACATAATTTCGAATGTAGGAAACAATTCTTCATGATTATTGGCCAAACTTGTATGGAAGCTGAGCAATCTCCTTTACTAGACTAAAAAAATCTACTAAAATTTTCTTAAGATTGAAACCTCTAGCAGGTTAATGCTTAAAATAAAAATATAATAGGTATTCTATTCTTATTAGTCGACTTACTCTATCTCCAACTCCCGTAGATAATACTTGAGCGCCTGTTTCACGACGTAAATCTTCTTTTATGTCATCTGTAAGTAAAAACTACAATTAACGCCAGAAAAGGATGATGGTTGATAGTTACTAGTAGATTTTAGTATTTTTAGTGCTTACCAACACGTCTAGCTACATCAATGGCATTGTAACCTTTACCATTTTTTTCTACCTTAAACGTAACTTCGCCTCGATCAACTCTGAAAATAGAAACACCGAAATAATTAAGACACTGCCGAAAATTTTAAATTAAACTTATTAGAAAAAGACATACCGTGGATTTGTAAAAGTGTTCTTTTCCAAACCAAGCATTTCTTCAAGTCTTGATATTATCGAAATGCCTTTATTCCAATCAGTTAAAAATCTAAAAGAAGATAACATAATAAAACAATATTCATAGTGCGTCTTACAATAATTTGACTACCACCTGTTACACGAAATACTTACCTATCATTGAATAGCACATAAGCATAGGAGGGATCATAATCATAGTCATTATGGTCATGATCAGGTTCCGTCCCTACTTTTTGGGCGCTCGCGGAGCCATGAGCTGCAATTCAAAATATTATTCACTCCACTTGGCTCAGCTAAATATATAGTTATGAAAAACATCGATGAATTGGACACATGCAAATATATATATACATTTCCAAAAAAGAATTGTCAAAACTTAAATAAAATTTTCTAAGTTATCGCAAAGCTTTAATTAAAGTGAGTGTTTTAAGAACGAGCTCATTTATTTGTACAACTAACATTTATTTTGGAAGTATGAAGAAATGTAAAAAGGCCATGAACTTTAAAATAACAGAAAGAAGCCCATCTAAATAAAAAAAAAACAATGGCGACAAACATTGATGAATAAATAGTACAAAATAAAATTAAGGAATCTTAAACTCATGCTTTCGTGTAAATGAAATAAAGTGCTGACTCAGGGAGACATTTAGTGCAGTGTTCTATAAAGACAAAGTGCATTCAAAGTTTATAATGAAAGAAAAATTGACGTTTTTTTTTAAATACAGCATAGTATCATTGGAAAACTTTGAGGGTACATTTACATTCTAAACAATTATCTCAGGCCGCTGTGACACTAACCTGTCACTGAATTATTGTGGTATAAAATCTTTAAAGTTTTCGCATCCAAGCGAGGCCCAGGCTTTTTAACGTCATCTCTTTCCCTACGCATAAAGCCCCATTCGTAATTAAGGAAATCTTGAAAATCTTCGGGGTAAAATTTGGAATTTTCACCTGAAACATCGTCGGTATCTGTAACACCCTCAATCCGATCCGAATATCTTTTCTGTGTTGAGCTTCTCGGGCTTAAAGGGCCTATGTGATAGGAGAAAGAAAGAAAAACAAAAAAACTAAAATTAAATAATGTAACTTATAAACAGGAAACAATCATGTTTATTTGAAAGAATGAGCGTAACAATGCGGCAGCATTGCATACCTATATGCTACAAATAAAACCACAAAGCAACATAAATTAGTTCTTTTTACATGATGTTATCAATATAGCTAATACAATTATAAGCTTACCCTGCAAATCATCTGCTTTTAGCGGCCCCCCTTCAGCATACAAAGCACCTTGTGGTTTTAACTTTGAATCGATTATGTCTCGCCAGTAATTCATTAGATTCTTAGACGTTTTGCCATCAGGACCCATAGAATTACCGCCTGTAAGAATATTTAAAGATAATTTGAGAACATCGAATTTTTACCAAACATTGAATAATCAATAAGAAAATTTAAACATTACTAGCTGTGCCCTGCGGTGTTACCCGTGGTTTATTAGGGACTTTTTTCCGCAGTAAAACGTAGTCTATGTGTTAATCCAGGGTGTGAACTCACTCCATACCAAATTTTATTAAAATCGCTCCAGCTGTTTAGACGTGAAGAAGTAACAAACATACACACTCACAAACTTTCGCCTTTACAATATTACTGTGATAATACCTTTTTGGTGATATGGGTCCAATTCTCCGCTTCCAGTGTCAAAAGGAATCTCATCTAAACTATCTTCATCTATGTATATCCTTTGCTCCGGAATATCTACATTCTCATATTCAAATGGAAAATTTTTCTCTGCAAAACTTTGCTTGTATTTTTCCAAAGCATTTGAGCGGATTTCAGCATCTAATGGTGAATATCTATTTCCAGTGATATATTCAGCAGTGTAAGGTGGTGGTTTTATTTTAATTTTACGAAAATGCGCACCTAATCTTTCTTCGTCAGTGTATGATTCTTGCACATCATTCTTGCTTTTCTCAGATAGCGATTTTTTATCCTTTTGGATCACAGTATTAGGAGTTTCGTTGTCATTGTGAAGTGATTTAGCTTTTTCAGCTTTAATCCTTTCTCGAAATCCTTCGAAAGGCAATCTTTCTAGTAACTCTCCTCCTGTGCTCATCAACATTAAATCTCGCAATTTATCGCTAGGATTTTCTTCGCTCATTACAGTTTCTTCTTCATTATCTAAAGCATTAAATAAATACACATTTAATATTATATTGCATTCAATTTACTACTAATCATAACGTTACTATTTTTATGTAATTATTTGTACCTTTAGCCATTAGATACGCAATAGGGTCTTCATCAGGTAGTAATGGAGGGTTGTAAACTTCATTGGCATAATCCGAATCAGCTAAAGCCGAATTAGGAGTAAACCGGACGAAGGCCGTTTCATCAGGTTCAATCTAAAAGAAATTGGATGCAAATTGATATAGTTGATTTGTACCCATTTTAAAAATGTGTATTATTATTAAAAGAACTCACGTCAAGATCGTCTTCATCATTAGGATCTTCGGATCTAAGCTTTGGATCTACAAAGTGTTCGCAGATCTTTGCGTTGACATTATCTGGATCTCTGTAAATTAATTCCATTATCAACTTTCAATTAATGCTACTTAATTTATCGATAAGTACGTACTATTTCTCTATTTATAAAGGCGGTTTAGAGGTCTTCAACAGGTCTGTGTCATAAATCTATCATAATATAACGAGTGCTATATTAAATATCAGTTTCGAAAACTACCTACTGCTCGGTAGGCCGGCTGAATATATTTATCCAATACTCATGTAGGTACCAATTCTCAAACTTCGTTAAGTTTTATATTAGGGATATAACAGTACTTACAGGTTCTGTCGCAGCGGGTACAGCATGGACTGCAGTACGCACTATGTGTACGCATACTCCCAGCGGTAGCCGCGTGATGCCCACCGCTGTAGTTCCCCCTCGAACCACTGCAGCTGTTCACGATAATGATGGTGATGATAGAGTACAGTACTCACAGGTTGTATCGCACCGTGTACAGCATGGACTGCAGCACGTACTGTATGTACGCGCGCTCCCAGCTGTAACCGCGTGAGGAAAGCCGCTATAGTTCCTCCTCGAACCACTAAACCTGGTGACGATAATGATGGTCACGATAGAGTACAGTACTCACAGGTTCTGTCGCAGCGTGTACAGCATGAACTGCAGCTCTCACTGTGTGTAGGCGCGCTCCCACCTGTAACCGCGTGACGAAAGCCGCTATAGTTGCTTCTCGAACCACTGAAACTGGTGACGATAATGATGGTCACGATAGAGTACAGTACTCACAGGTTCTGCCGCAGTGTGTACAGCATGGACTGTAGCACGCACTGTGTATACGCGTGCTCCCAGCGGTATCCGCGTGACGCCAACCGTTGTAGTTGCTCCTCGAACCATTGCAGCTGATCGGAGCTCATGTCATACCTGGCAACACACAATTGGAGTTGACATTGACATGCATTGAAAGTGCTTCCTGGCCTGAAGATGAATGCACCATGGGATCTAAATATGTTTGTTTCGCCGTTTGCTCCTATATTCATAGGATTCAATTATAATAGCATTTAATTTGCCTTGCGTTTCTAGCTCATTTACGCGCATTGTATCCATACATAACAACGATAATTTTTCTAGCGATTAAGTACTACAATCCACAGTGGATTATGGCATACAACTCTGAGGTACTGCAAGCAATTCCAACATCCTTTGAATTCAAAGAGCCCAAAATATAATCCTCTGAACTATTAGGGATGCGCCATGGTATATCAATATTAATGAAATTCACGAACACCTGAAAACAGTCAAGGAAAAAATAACCATTGCGACACTGAAATACCGGGCTAAGCTGGAGACTCGAACACATTAGCAACACAACTTATGACTCGGAGTTATAACAAACGACTTAAAAGGAAAGACGTCCTATAAAGAGAATTAAGGAGGAGATGTCCTTACTGAAGGACACACTCTTACACCGCAATGTTTATCCAACACATTTGCTTATAGTGGCACGTACTGATTGCAAATTACGATTGGAAAAAAAGTACTACAATCCCTTGATTTAAGTGTATTATTCGAAGTAAAGCAGTACTTATAAGGTAAGTAGATTAATGTGACTTTTTATTACTTACTTGAACAAGGCCCCCTCATCCGGTGCCTCATAGAGCTGGATGCACCTCCCGAAGGCGTAATCTAATAATTAATGTAGGCATTAATTAATGTTCTTTGAACATTATTGTATTTTTTGGATGAGGCCTAACCTACTTATAACTAATTTATACCTACCATCGTAACACCATTCGACTCCTTTCACGCAGAGCGAAGCGCCGAATAAGCAACCTGTTGAAAAATATAAAATAGGTAAGTATTTATTGTATATATATTTTTCTTGATGTTTGTATAATTATTTATATTAATAAACGTATAATTTCATAAATTACTGACAGGCTCATATTATCTAACTTGCAACCGATTTATGATCGGCTTGTAAGTAATCAATAGTGAGTGAAATGAGAAACAAATTAATTTTGCTATTCCTCTCTTGTGTCTCACAGAATTTCCACACTCTATCAACAAAATCACTACACCGTTTATTCCACACGCAAGTATATAAATGCATTGAGGTGCGTAATGCGTCGTGTTTTTTTGGTCTGGACCTTCAAGATTCGACTCAAAATAAATATCTTCAACTAGTTTTATTTAATGGGTGATGTGCGTGAAAACCTAAGAAACAAATATATTCAATGTGTCAAAGGAAGTAATCCATAAGGAGATTATCAATGCGAAAATGTGTCTGTCTGTCTTTTCTTCTCATAATTAAACCTCTGTAACGATTTAGATGAAATAGGTAGTTTGAGTTTCGGGAAACGGTAATAGGATGGTATTATCCCAGAAATCATCCTTGAAGAGAATGAAAAAGGGAGTGGAAGTTTGTATCGGAAACCAATTAAGCTACGTAGAAAAAGTCGCCGGCACGCTAGTTTTTGTTAAAATGACACGTACCTATGTTCCCATCGGCGTGCGAGGGCGCCAGCGAACTCAGCAGCGCTAGCGCCCACAGAGCCAGCCGCCATTGGACGCGGCACATCACATCTGAAGCAAATATACCACATGTTCATAGAGAATATATATGAGGAGCTGGCGAGAAAAACGATATAATCATGCATTTGGTCAAACTACTTTTTTTACCGTCCGGAGGTCTGGGCCCCGTTGAATTTGAATCTCAAATAATTTAGAATCAAAACTGCCTAAAAAGGTAATTGAAGGATGGCCAAATCGTACCTGATGAGGAAACGATGACGTCCCAATATGGTTTTAGAAAATATAAGCAAAATATCCATATTCTCCCACATTAAAAAGATATACCAACCTTTTTTGTGTTTTGGTTATTTATTTGAAATTATTTGGAATAACATGTTCAGAACGCACCCATTGACGATGAAATGATTTAATATTCATAGACTACGTATAAATTATTTCTTTTTCTAAATACTTGTTAACCGTAATTCAATTAATAGTTGGGCATCTGATCAACTAGTGTAATTAGGCATTTAAAGAACTTTTATCATAAAAATAATTAAGTAAGTACAAATTGAGTATGAGCTTTTTGTTAATTGCTCGGTTTATGCATATAAAGGAACGTTATATGTTATCGATCGGCGCCATCGATTGAATGACGCACAGTGACAGTGATCATTCTGTGCTAATGCTTTCGCTAAGATTGTTGTTGTGGATTATTGTGATTGTACTATTTTGGATTATCTTCTGTTCTTTTGACCTTGGCATTGATTTACGGACTGATTACTAAATAATATCTTTCATTTATCCCCATACCCACCATTATTACCTTATGATGGGTATCATTATTACTTCGACTGTGAGTGAAAGATAGCAGGTATCTAGTCTCGTCTAACGACTTACTCTTTAGCCGGCACAACAAGAAAAATGCCCCAAAATAGGACTGAACTAAAAACCACTTATTAATTTTCTATGAGGCATCGAATAAAATAGCTATGAGATCGCCAATTACCCTCTTCGCTTTTTGCTACTACATTTTGGGCTTCACCGCAGTCGGGCAATATTTAAAAAAATCGTGGCTATTTATATAAGATTTTCAAACGGGATAGTATTTACAACATAAAAACAAACCATTCTCACTAAAGTTTATTAAGGGACATCAAAAATAAAAGTCAAGTCCAGCTCATATAGAAATCTGGCCATTGTTCTTTATAAATTAAAAACCATGCCAAAAGCTCAATGTAGGTATGTCATTCAGTTTTATACAGCTCCTGTAAAAAATAATTTTATGTAAATATAACCTTTTGTTCGCCAGCTCCTCATATATGAGGAATACCAAAGATAGTGTATTAAAAAAAGATATAAATGGTATCTTCTAACGCGCGGCGATTCTGTAAAGTGGAGGTTACTTCCCCAAAGGGGCGCTCCAATTAAAGCAGAAAACCGCTAAGCCCTTCCTCTCTTAAAAACTGCTTTCTTCATATACTCGTATCATACGGTCAGGTTCCTTGCTAATTTGCAACCGTAAACGATATTTATTCGTAGCAATAAGTTTATGTTGCGATAAAATGGGCCGTATCGTTACTTACAAACAACTATGGCTCATGAGAATGTATTTAAGTATACTATAAGCATTTACTTTCCGTCCTTAGCAAGATATATTGAAAATTCGTGCTAGAACTAGAACAAACGATATGATGGCTACAAAATATGCTACGCACATGTGCTACGGTGTAAATATCGTAGTTACTTGCTTAACTTTTCTTATAATATTAATGTTTCCCATTTTTTATGTGTAACATCTCTCCTCTCATTTTCCTGCAATTTGTAGGAGTGATTTCGTGAAATGGGACGAAAGTGTGTAACAGGAAGTCGCGAAAGCGCGCGCTATTTGATTTGATTTTAGAACATAATGTTCAAATGTTTTATTCCTTTTGTAGTAGGTTTTATTTCTTTTTTTACTAATATATATAAGGTGAGGTTCAAATGTTACACATCATACGCGACTACTGTAAGGCTCGCTCGTTTTTTTGTTATTTCAACGAACCAAATAATAAAGCTTTTACTGCGCATCTTCATAACAAAAATATTTTTGGCGATAAATCAATGTTTTCGAACTTTTGTAGATGGATTCTGTACAAAAATGAGGGTTGGGGGCGTATCAAGAGTTATTAATAGGTATTTTTCGATAAAAATAGCTGCGTTATTGTTCGTATGTGAGCGAATCATCCTACATTTAATCCTTATACCATTCACTTCAGTTTTGCCAGTTCAGGTTTTCACCCACACGTTCTATTTTCACGTTAAATCGTACGTACATACTGTGTATCTACCTACCTAAGATCTTGGAATAACAGTATCACATACACATAATCGCACATTATCTACCAGAACTGTATGACACGGCATTCGCACACTATGTATCAGTAAAACGGACATCTGCTGTACCACTAGCACGAACCAATATCGAATTCGAATAGTTTGCGAGCACGATATGTCATTGTCAAATGTGTACTGATTTTTAGTTCTAGTTGTGGCAGTGCTGTTAAAGTTTCCATACAAAATTTGACAATGACATTTCGGACTCGCAATCTATTCGAGTTCGATAATGGTTCGTGCTATGGGTACTGTAAGTATATACCAAATGTTAAATACTTTACTATTCAAGTTTTTCTACTAAATTTTTTTTTTCATTGACTGTGTATGTTAGCGCCATCTAGTAAAAATAAATACACACAGGGAATTTAGTGCTAACGATATACAGGGCGTCCCACGGCTACGTCACACGGAGGGAAAGTATATTAAATATTGAAGATAGGACATTTTACTGAAAGAAGACATCATTTTATTTTTAATAATAACTAGAACTGCATTCACAGATTTTTTAAAAATCGCCAGCTGCAACTGGGAATCAAACTCGTGAAATTTCGAAAAATATAACACGGCATATTTTATGATAACCATCGAAAGGGTTAATCATAAGGATTATTTTTTGCTAAATAACATAGTATTCTAAATGAAAGGAATGTGAATTACGTGATAAAAATAATAAAGTGATTTACAAACTGTAGTACGTATGCATTTCTTTTTGAACTCACAGTTAAAATGCGACTGGCAGAAATTTGTAATAATAATAATTCGAAAATGGAACACATACATTTTCAAGTGTCTGTTCTTTTGTTTTTTGTGTGTTTCTTTCTTGGTGTGGTTCTCTATCTCTATCTTTCTATCATTATTTAAACACATATCGAGAAGGTTTGTCTCTATGAGGATATATTTTGTGGTACCACCGCTAAGCTAATGATATGTCTTTGTGGTTCATAAAATAAGCTTACATTAAATCTATTTTATTTTGATGCGCTGATTTTTGATAAGCCATGGTAAGTAAATTAACAAAAAATTGCAAATAAACGAAAATAAAACTCACGAAAAACAAAAGAACACAGGCTTGAAAATTTATGTGTTCTATTTTGGAATTATTATTACAAATTTCAGCCAATCGCATTGTAACTGAATTCAAAAAGAAATGCATACGTACTACAATTTGTATATCACTTTATTATTTTTATCACGTAATAAGACATTCCTTTCATTTAAAATGCTATATTATTTAGCAAAACATAATCCTTATTATTAACCCTTTCGATGGTTATCATAAAATAAGTCGAGTTTTTTTTTTCGAAATTACACGACTTTGATTCCCAGTTGTAACAGGCGATTTTAAAAAAATCTGTGAATGCAGTTCTAGTTATTATTAAAAATAAAATGATGTCTTTCTTCAGTAAAATATCCTATCTTCAATATTTAATATACTTTCCCTCCGTGTGAGGTAGCCGTGGGACGCCCTGTATAATAAATGGCGCTTTTATTTTAGGTGCAAGCCTAATTTAATAACAACTAATACTGTTGAACCATCATGCCGTAATTTAAATTGGTTTTTATTTATTGGTTTATCCCACTTATCTATCGAGAATTCATATAAACGTAAACCAGTTTGACAGATAATAGTGCCAATCAGTGCCGTCTTTGACCTATTGGAGGCCCTGGGCATATTAGGATAATGAGGCCCGTATGACTTCCGTTTGGTGATTTAACAGGAACTAGGGACTTTGTATTGGATCTGAGGGGGGCCCCTATCGATCGCGGGGCCCTGGGCACTTGCCCAAAGTGCCCACTGGGAAAGACGGGTCTGAGTGCCAACTAAAACTAGATGGCGCATTTTAGGATTAAATTTAATAATAAATCGAGCCATAATTAAATTGTTTTCATAATTGATTTATAAAAGAAACACAATAGTTTTTTATCGGGATGAAGATTCGATTGCCACGCTGCCCGTGGCTTTGTTACCAGCTATTTATTTATAAAAAATACTGTAAAAAAAACGGATGGACATAACGATTGTTGATAAAAAGCAGAGACAAACCTACGAAACATTTAATACTTAACTATTCAGGTATTGTAAAACAGATTGGGTAAGGTAGATTTTGAAATGGCCTCAGACAGGATTCGAACCTTAATGAGGTCGGCCTCAAGTTATAGCGTGACCAAGGGAAAAAGGGATTCATTATAGATAAATAGTGAATAATACATCACGATTGCGATATAGGCCAAGCAAATATCTAGAAGGCTTTTCAAAGAAGCCTTGTCCGCCTGTCACATGCAGGAAAGGCTACCTAATTTGATCAATAGTCTTGTTTTCAACAGTAGGTACTTGTATAAACCGATAAAGACTTGTTTGTGTACCTAAACTTATTACTTATAGAACGTTTCTAAGTAAGCCGTTTATATTTATATTTTTCTTTGTTTTAGGCATTTAACTGTTAGATGTTTAACTTTAAGTTTTTTTTTGGTTTGGAACGGACAATTTGATCTTTAGAATCGTTTTCATTAAGAATTTATCAATACATGCTTTGCTTTAATTGAAACACAAATTACAAATCACTATCTCCCAAATATTTAAATTCAAAATATCTATATAGACCAGGGACGATAATTTTAAAAATGGTGAAAAGTGAAAAAAAAATATAGTAGGATCGTGCTAGCTGCTGCTACTCTCTTTTACGGCTGCATTACTC